AGTAATCTATCGCGTGTCCGCAAAAAATTCTAGATTCTAAAAAACTCTTGTTGATCCACTGTAATGAGTACTGCCTGGGCTAGAGTTTAGAGAAAGTTTTGCACCCACCAGATTAGTACACTTTGAACAATGGTTAGCTTGCCTACCGTTAGCTACCCTCCCACCACAGGATGGGGAAGGGTGGAAGGGAGGGAGGACGGAGCAGCTTTTCGAGGTAGTGTCCAGGTACCCAGAATTTCTCGAACACTGCCTTTCAATGTGAAAAAGGTTCACCATTGCTTGCCCTTTCTTCAGGAAATTTTCTCTGACTTAACCTTAGATAATCCCAGCTACTGAAGAAGGGGTTCAAAACTTCAAAATTCAGAAGTTTAAAGTTCAGATACACGGAGATGTTCGGCTTTTGTATCGCTGAAAACTTGCATCCTCAATGCCCAGACAATGAGGTATAATCTTCCTGAAATTTTTCGCTCTAAAAATTCAAAAATCCGTTCGTTAGGTTCTCCTCAACGGCAAATGTGTGCAAAAAGTTCCGATTGGCTCCCCGTGCCAAGTTACCCAACAATGCTTGGGTGGTGCACAGTGTAACTACGGGCTATGTCAATGTGCTGCTGGACAGTCAATCATCAATGGAGTTTGCTCAGGAGGTCCAGGTAGTGGATGTCCTTTGAATCAGGTAGAAATTTAAATTCCAAGAGAGGGGCTAACAAGCAGAAATTCTTGACTGTGGAAAATCTGCAGGTTATGGTGAATGGACAGTGCATGCCTACGGTAGGTATAGGTTTGCGCTGCTCTTACACCCAGCAGTGCCTTGGAAACTCGGTTTGCGTCGGCAACGTCTGCCAATGTCCCAGTGGTAGCAATAACTACAATGGAAAATGCACTAGTCCAGAATGCCAGCCAAATCAGGTAACCTATATACTCCATATTTTGCAATGCATTCAAAGCTATTCCGAAAAAGCCGTTACTTTTCTCGCTCAAAATAATGTAGCAGTGGTCAACCTCCTGCGGAAGTTCTCGCAGTTATTGAAAAAGGGCAAAATTACAGATTTTTGTGTAATGAGCTTTACCATCTAGATTCACAAATAGATCAAGTATTTTACAGAAATTCTCATTCCCCAAAACACCTCACTAGTCAAAGTCCTGCGGAAGTTTGCCTAGCGTTGTTGTGCGCAAGTTCTGCACAATTTAGGGAACGGGCGAAAATTATAGATTCTTGTTAATGATAACTCCACCATCTAGATTTACGGATAGATAAAGCCATTACGCAGAAGCTCCTACTTTTAATGAGCAAAATAAATCTACCGCTAGGGAAAGAAATAAAAGCTTTCGCTTTTCAAAGTGTTTTGGTAGTCAAAGTCCTGCGGAAGTTTAGCTAGCGTCGCTCGTCCTGCGCGTGCCGCACTGGTAAAGAATACGCAAAAAATACGAATTTTTGTGTTGTGGCAATCTCATTTTTACGTAGCGATAGTCTACCATGTAGATTGCAAGATGAATATAGCGAATCCAAGGAAGTTCCCACCCAAGCTCGGCTTTTGAGAAGTCCTGCGAATTTTCGTCTATTCGCCTCTCTTGCGGAAGTTCTGCACAACTGCTGGATTTGCTGACATTACAGATCCTGGTAAACAATCAATGCCTGCCCCTAGCAGTCGTTGGCGGACGATGTACTTACAATGAGCAATGCACTGGTAATTCCGAATGTGCGAATGGGTACTGTCGATGTTCTGACGGTTCTGCTCCAAATAATGGCATATGCAACGGACAGAGCAGTGCGTGCAAGAGTTATCAGGTGGGGAAATTTGAGCAATACAGTCTTGGACAATTTGTTTAATTTTACCTGCTGATACGCTTTCAGGTATCCGTAAACAATCAATGCCTTGACAAAGTATCCATAGGACAAAGCTGCACAAATGCAGCTCAGTGCATAGGTATGATGACTAGTCAAAGGCTTACGAAATCTGGCAGTTGCTATAATTCTTGAAAAAACTCCCTAGCGGAAAGCATTTGTCATCTAATAAGTTGAAGTTCGATTTTTCCATCTCTTTTGAGGCTTCTAAAACAGTGAGAAGGTTTAGTAGGTCCTCGGAACTTAGGATGCTTAATCAATCCTAGGTTCCAAGGACTTCTAGACCTTCTCACCGTTTTATAAGTTTCGAACAATGGTTTGTTTTAGAAGCGTTTGTTTTAGATTGTTTACTAGCTGGCATACCCGGCTCCGCCCGGCCCAGTCAAAACACTATGATAAAGGTCCCATCCTTATTCATGCAGAATCTTTCCCTGCACCACTTCTACATGCAATTCCCTATCCCCTTATTGTCTTTGAAATCAGCATGCTCACCTAACCCCCTCTTCCCTTTACCAACTCCAAACCCCGTAGATCAAACTTTGAAAAAATCGATAAAATCGATGAAAGTAGCGGATAATTCCAAAAACTGATACTGTATTCGTAATCAGCAT